TCTATAGTACCCGAAAGTGGAACGTGGGAGACGCAGTCTCTGTGGCTCTCTCTGTGCCTTGTCTGCACAGTTACCTCTGTGTAGCTTCAGCCCAAATTTCTTCACCGTAGGCATGAGTATAAGGCTTTCAGCCATGGCTTTACCCTCCCCAAACTCATCCTTTGTCTTCAAACTATACGAAAGCTGTATTTTTAGATCAGGATCCTGGTTGTACACCCATTCATTCCGATGGTCTTGTATTCAGAGACTATTTGCAATCCTAAAAAGCCATATGAGCAGAATTGAAAATATTGAGCCAGTAAATTCTTTGCAAGAAAACAAAACAAAAAACAGTTCAGCGTTTGTCAAAAAAGTTGGTTTCTCAAGGGACCGTGGTTAAGTCTCTCCAGTTGTGGAACTAGCCCACCCACTTTGAATTCACCATGTCTAAACAGCCCTACCTCTCACTCAGTGTGAGCATTTACTGCCAGTGCATCATGTACATATGCCAGAGTCAGAGTATAATCAACTTTTGGTTCTCACCATCTAAACCCCAGATCCTATTGTTGTATTCTACTCTCCAATTTGTCCATTTATATTTCCACTAGGGCCCTCTACCCTCTTCCAGCTTTCTTCTATGGACCTACACTCCCTGTCTTTTCCACCACTTTTCTCTCTATGACCATCACATTCCCTTCTGATGGAGACATCCATTTCCTCTATTTCCTTCGTTCCCATGGGCTTTCTGTTTGAGGTCTCCTTGTGCTCCAGATTCCTGTGACACAGCCTCTGCCTTTCCATTGGGAGACGCCCTCTCCCTCCTGAGTCAGAGGGGAATTCAAGGAGAGAAGAGACTAGGAGGGAGGCAATGCCCTTCCTAATCTATGTCTCCTTTTAACTTCAGATATGTATAAATGCAAAACCCCCAATTCCCCTTTCTCTGAAAGAAAAAAAAAATCCCAAGCCCAGACTTTTTTCCTAGAATTTGTTCTCTTTTCCCACAGCCTCAGCTGGGATTATTGGCAACAACTCCTTATGACTCTGTTTACTTCAGTGGAACTCGAACAAGGCAAAGGTCTGTCCTTAGCTGCTGCTACCAATGGAAACTGAGAGGCTGCACAATTTTGATGAAGACTCCTCATCCAACTGCCCTGATTGGGACCCCAATATGTATAGAGTAAAAGGGCCAGGGAAAGAACAATCTGACCCCGACTTGACTGCAAAACCAAGGTCAAGGACTTGAAATCTCACCAATCCTGAGCTTGTCCCAGAGTCAGGCCTCAAAACCCCAACAATACTAAGCCACCCTGGAAAGCTCTGCCCTGCCCCCAACCCTGTATAAGCCCTGTATTCCATTGGGTTTGCTGCTGCTTCTCACCCTAGCAGAGGCAGCCACCCTCCTGGGTTATTCCCACCCAACTGCTCGAACCCAGCCCAAAACAAAAAGTGGGGAGAACGGGAACCCTGCACTGGAAAGGGATTTTTGTGCCTGTAATAAAGAAAATCAGTGTCCAAGCTGAGGAATCAGTGTCCAAGCTGTTCCAAACCCAAGAAAGCACAGATTCTCCTGCTACAGTGAGCTGGAAAACAAAATCAGAATGAGGGAATCAGGCAGGGCTCTGCTCTCTTAGGCCTCCAAGAGTCCTTGGTTGCAGCATTAGTAGGAGACTCCTCAGTTAAGTTCTTGGTAGACACCAGAGCAGAGTCTTCTGATATTAAAAGCTCTGATGGGGCCATTGATGAATAAAAGGAAGGAAATTCAGGGAGCCATTGGCACAGTTAGGAACTCACACCTGAAAGAACAGTTAGTCTGAGCCACACACAAGTGACACTTCTTTGTAGTGGTCCTAGATTGTCCCTTTTGCCTTCTGGACAGAAGTGGGGGTGGAGGTAGGATTCTATGTGAGGCCTGCTGCTTCTACTCTAACAAATCAGGGCTTATGAAAGAGACTTTACAAACGATAAGAGAGAACCGAGATAGAAGACAACAGGCACAGAAATCTAACTCCTGGTATTCCAGACTGATTGGAACCCATGGTTAATGACCCTTGTCACTGTTCTTGCTGGCCCTATACTTTTCCTTTGCATAGGACTTGCTGTGGGGCCAGTATAATAAATTTCTTTTTAAAAATTATAAGAGAAACCAAGATTGCCTTGATTAAGCTAAATATCCTCAGGACCCAATATTTATCCTTTAGTCAAAACTAAGGGTTTGAAAGTCACTAAACGAAATGGGGGAACAAAGTGGCAAAGGTAACACCATCTTATCCTATTTTTGTGTCATGACTATTTTTGCGTCTGCTTAGACACATCTCGACACTCTACCTCACCCCCACCCCAAGTAGACATGTCACTCTTAGTAACACATTTGGCATTTTCTAAGACTCTGACTGTGGTCCTGATGTATTTACCCAAATAATGTTTGTACAAGCTAAACATAAACTAAAATAACTGAAAAAGGTATAAATCAATTGTCATGTTGTGTCTGAAATAAATACTATGTTCTGCCAAAACAAATGTTGCCAAGTTACCCTGACCCTTGTCTAAGATCAATGTAATTATGGTCTGTGTGGCCTTTTGCCTTTAAAGCCACTACACCCCCAGCTTCTGTATCAAGAGTCTTCCTGGGGTATTAGCCCCTTCCTTCCTTCCTTCCTTCCTTCCTTCCTTCCTTTCTTCCTTCCTTCTTTTTTGAGACGGGATTGCTCTGTCTAACAGCCTTGGCTTTGGATCTCACTTTGTTAGACCAGGCTGGCCTTGAACTTACAGAATTCTGCCTGCTTCTGCCTCTTGAGTGCTAGAATTATAGGCTTGTACCACCACCACCCAGTGTCCTTATACTCTTAATTGGCTTAATAAGTATGGTGGTGTGGAACTTTCCGTGTGCATTACTTCAATAAGACAGCGTCAATGGGTGAGGTATGCCATGTGGGAAAGAGTGGTGGGTAATCCTTAGAGTTGTCCCAACAGCCCCAAAGTGCCACGTGACATGGAGCAGGGCTACCTCCTCATGACAGCCCTGCTGGCTGATCATTCCTCTGCCCTTCCACTTGAAAGCCAAGATGCCCCTGCTGGAAGTGTTAACTTCCACTGACCAGAAGCCCACGTGTTGAGACTCATTATGAACCCATTACTGGGCGACCCTGTGAACGCCCTTGAGGTTGGCTCCTCTGTCCAGAATATAGCACAGAACTGGAAAGCCCACAGGGGCCCTCTGAGTTCCTTACCCCATCTTCTCGTTCAGGTGATGGGTGAATTCTGCTTCTGGTGTCCTTGACACCATATATTTCTGCAGACTCCAGTAATGTTGCCTCTACTTCCTTAGCCTGCAATACTGTTTCTCCCAATCGCTTGCATCTGCTGATGTGAGAAATGCTTAGGCAAGAAGCCAGATGAAACCTTTTTGCCCACCAGTTTTACCACTACGCTGTTGCAGCAATACGAGCTGAGTTACCAATGTGTTGGCTCATTACCCACCAAACCCACCATCATCTACTGGAGCTTGTTGGTCCTCCCTCCTGCCCCACACCACAGAGATCCCTCTGATCTCATCACCAGCTATGGTGACAATCGTGATGAGGCGGTCCATCCTCAGAGAGGATGATTATGACAAAAGGAATGACTCTTCAGATTCTAGAACAATGAACACATCATCCTGAAGTGTTCCTATGGGTAGGGGCCAGGAGACTCTTTCTGTCCTCATCTTGTGTACTCTTTCCTCTTGTGGGACAAAGTGACTATACTTGACATTCTATGAAATGCCAATAAAAGGTAACTTATTTAATTTCCCATTCTTCACTGGGAAATGGCAAATAGTTCTGCTCCAGTGACCACCATGAAAGAGCATTTGTCGCCAAGAACCATGTGGAGGACGGCTGGCTAGATAGAAGATCGAGTAGGGACCTAAAGGTGAAGGCTTCTTTTACTCCTAAACTCAACATGGGATGTTAGGTGAAGTAATGATCGAGCGATAGTTTGTAAAAGGATTCCTCAGGATTCCTGGAATCTAAAGGAAGTGGTTTGGTTGCCAATGGACTGTGAACAGGAACAGAATACTCCTACTCTCAAAATCTTTCCTTCCAAAGCCACTGAACTTCAGAGTAGAATGGACAGCTCGGGCGGTTGTTTGAGCTTACACTGTCTTCAGAGACAAACTCCGCTAAGAATTGTTCTATTCACAGGAGTGAATCAAAAGCATGGTGTTAGCATTATTAGACCCCCGGAAAACTCAGGTATCCGGGGTCCCAGGCCACGACTTCAGTCACCCCAATCACCAGGAAGATTCGAGAGCTTGCTGCAAACTGCATGAGGCTTTATTGTAATTTAACGAGCTAACCCCATGTTAGCTCAGGTCTTTTGACCACCCACCAGTTTGAATTGGCTGCCGAGAGATCTTGTAGGGCAGCATAAGGGGAGTGTCTAGGGGTACGCACAGGCTCACGATTGGTGTGCCTCCAGG